AAGACAGTCGACTGCTGGAAACACCCTAACAGTTCCCAGCAGGAGCTTGAAAAAATAGGGGCATATTCATCAATGCCATAGTAAACAACAGTTAAAATGAACTGGAGTTACCTGGATTGACATAGATATCAAAAGTATAATGCTTTTTTTTCTTTTTTGAGACGGAGTCTCACTCTGTTGCCCAGTCTGGAGTGCAGTGACGCAATCTTGGCTCACTGCAGTCTCCGCCTCCCGGGTTCAAGCTATTCTCCTGCCTCAGCCTCCTGAGTAGATGTGATTACAGGCGTGCGCCCCCACACCTGACTAATTTTTGTATTTTAAGTAGAGGCGGCTTTTCACCATGTTGGTCAGGCTGGTCTCGAACTCCTGACCTCACGATCTGCCTGCCTTGCCTCCCAAAGTGCTAGGATTATAGGCATTAGCCACCACGCCTGGCTGTGTAATGCTTTTTTATAGTTTTAAAACATTCACGACAATACAAGATTTTAGGGAATGGCAAAAAGGAAAAGACATTAAAAGGTCCATGGGCTGGGGTGGGAAGGGGACTGATCAAAAATGGGTGTAGGGGAGGGATCTTTTTGGGGATGATGGAAATGTTATAAAACTGGATTGTGCTGATAGTTGCACAGCTCTATAAATTTAAGAATCAGTGAATTGCACACTTAACGATGGATGAATTTTATAGTATGTAAATTACACTTCAAGAAAGCTGTTAAAGAAAATATCCCATTAGTCTATTTTTCACAAGCGCATGGGAATGATCAACATCAAATGCAGGATGTGGTTTATGGGGGAGGGGCAGCACTGTGCACAGGGGCTTTGCATCTGCGATGCTTTATTTCTTAAAAATAAAAAAATTTTGAAACCAATATGACAAAATATAGAGATCTGAAGACTTGGAAGGTATCCAGATATAGACGTTTATTTTATTCTATGTATCTTTTCTATGTGCCAAATACTTTATTATTATATTGACAATATACCTATTTGAGCTGGGCAAGGTGGCTCACTCCTGTAATCCCAGCACTTTGGGAGGCCAAGGTGGGCAGATCATCCGAGGTCAGGAATTCGAGACCAGCATGGCCAACAAGCAAAACCCCAACTCTACTAAAAATACAAAAATTAGCTGGGCGTGGTGGTGAACGCCTGTAATCCCAGCAATCCGGCAGGCTGAGGCAGGAAAATTGCTGGAACCCAGGAGGCGGAGGCTGCAGGGAGCTGGGATTGCACCACTCCAGCCTGAGTGACAGAAGGAGACCCCGTCTCAAAAAACAATTATATACGTACCTATTTGAAAGGGCTGCTGTGATGCCTAAACACACCTAGAGAGCCTGACCCAGTGCCCTGCTCAGGTTATTGAGCCACTGTTATTCTTGCTGCCATAAATACTATAACCATCTTGCTCTTCTTAACATTTAAAGATATTGAGACAGAGCTGGCCAGCATCTCCAGGCCCCTGCTGCTGAGACTAATGCTTCTCTACATCCCTCTCCAGTGTGGGAAATGGGGTGATCCAAATAAAACCCACAAATTCTACCAGGAGCTCTTCTTCCTCCCCTCAAGCTGAAGACAACCTAGCTGGGGAGGGTATCCCAGGATGTCATCCTCAGAAGCCCCCTCTCCATTCATCCCCAAGCCCTCGGGTTCTAGTGCAGGAAAGATGCCAGCAGAGAAAGGCAGCAGCCCCCCAGACCTTCATCTCCCTGCTTCCAACAGAGGGTGGTGGCTCCAGGGAAACCCTCTCCAAACAATATTATGGATAACTGTCATCAACCTGCCAGGATCTCAGAGACCCCTGGAACTTCTGGCCCTGCATTCTCCAGACCTGGCCTGTGGCTCTGTCCCTGGGCCCATGGATGATGGCTCTGCCTGTGGGTGACTGAGGCTGGGGCTGGAGAGGACACCATTCTGATCTTGGAGAAGGTACCATTTCAGATGGAGCAGGTGGCCCAGCCCTGATGGGCAATCCTGAACTCCGGGTGCAGTTCTCCAATGACATCTAAAGCACCCATGACCTTGTTCATCACAGGCAAGTGGGTGATGAGCATGTGGTGGCCGAGATGGCTGCAAATGGGGAAGGGGTAGTGGGAAATTAGGGGGTGTAGTGAAGGGGACTCTCAAAAACTGACTTGTGTATTCTATGGTGTAGTGACTAGGGTAGGATGTGTGTGATGCTGTCCCCCAGGAAGACATGCAGCAATCAATGCCTGGAGAGCTTTTGGGTGTCACAGCTGGGAAGGGGGATGACTATCGGGTAGAAGCCAGGGATCTGCTAAACATCCTACAATCCACAGGACAGCCCTATAACAAAGAATGACCAGCCCACAGTGGCAAAGCTGTTGAGGCTGAGAAACTCTGCCCTTGAGGGATGTAGCAGTATTTACACAGAAGCTAGAGCTCAGAGAGGCAAACTAACCAGTCCAAGGTCACACAGTAGGACCGTTCAACTCCCCAGCTGATGCTGTCCCTCCAGGGTGGCTTCAGAAAAAGGGATACCAAATGGGAGTCAAAGTCCAGGCCCGCCAACAGCTGCCTTCATGCCCACTCTTTCCAGAGTGTGTGTGGGGCTGGGGTGGAGCTTAGGAACAGCAGTGGGGGTCGCCCGCCACAGGCATCTGTTGGGTTCAGCCCCCGTGCCATCATGGCAGTAATGTTCCTGTGGATGACTCGAGCTTCAGTTCAGCCCATTGCCCCTCCTCATCTGATGAACACGGAAGGCTGGACTAGAAGGGAGAAGGCCCCTTGAATCACATGAGTGACTAAACCCACATGCAGAAAAACAAGGTCTTGGTGAGTCCCCCCAGCATGTGACTTCGGCATGTTCCCAATCAGTGACAAGATACCTCGGGACAGGCAGGCAGGGAGCTAATGGTGAGGGAACTCCACCCTGCCTGCCACGTGGCTGCTCCCCCAGGAAATGGACAATACCATCCCCATTACACAGATGAAAAACTGAGCCTGAGAGGCGACACAGCTGGGAAGCCAAGATCCTAACCCCAATCTATGTTTTAACATAGAAACTTGTCTCAGGGGGCTCCTAAAAAGTGGATGAAAGCTTCAAAAGATGCTTCTCAAAGCTGCAAAATCTTCAAAAAACTGGCAACGATGGAGCTGACAGAGCAGAGAATGAAAAGCTTCCAGATTACATGATATGAGAGATTTCCGTTTTTCAGAGGACTTTGCTAGAATTATGGGGGTACTGAATCTAGGAAGTGGTGTGGTCTTTTCGGCATCCAACGGACCTGGATCTACATCCCTGCTTGGCTCCTGGCTGTGACCTTCGGCGTGGGACCTCACCCTGCTAAGCCCTGGTTTCCTCATCTGTCAAATGGGCTTAAGATCCTCAAGGCTGATATGGAGTGGCCAGAGAGGGCATGTGGATCACGATGGCCAGGCCTCAGTGGCGGTATCTATTCTTATTTTGCCAGCTCACAGACCTGGTGGGAGGTGGCATGGAGAATTCCAGGCTTCCTCCTGTTGCCATGTTGGTAAAATCTGTCTTCATGCCCAAGAGGCAAACTCAGTTACGCACTAACAGGCTCAAACAAGAAACTAAGATTTGGCAGCATTTGAAAACAGTTAACAAAAAAATCAAAAAAGGAAGAAAAAAAAGACAATTTCGCTCAGCTCTGGAATCACTCTATTTAAAGATGCCACAGGTTCAGGAAATAGCTTCCCACCGCCTGGCTAAGGGCTGAACAACTGGCTGCCCAGCCAATAACAATACAGAATCACACAGCACACCCTTTCTTGTGGAGAGTTCGGAGTGGGTTCCCGGCTATCTCCTTTCAGAATTTCACAGGCTATTCATGGAAGGCATGTGGATCTACTGTGTAAGAGTTAGTTCTTTAAAAAAAAAAGATTGGAAGATGACTTCCAGGGAGGTCAAAGAGCTTAATTCAGCCAGCCAACGCCCTTTTCTATTCATTGTTCTATACTTCTTTGTTAGGATTTTTTCCCTCCCTCTTACTCTTTTTCCCTTCCTGGTTAACTTCTCTGCAGCCAGGCTCAGCCACTGCCCACTTCTCACCGCCAGAGACACTATAGCCCCCTTCCTGCTGTAATGAGGCCCTCCCTAAGGCCTCAAGTGGGCCCATCACCCCACATCCCCTTTATCTCCACCCAGAACCTGAAGAGGTGGTCCCAGGGCCTCCTGAATCTGCAGAAGTGTTCCCTAGGTTGCTGCGGAAGCCACTTTCCACCTGCAGGTCACCGTCAGTCCCAGGCCCCCCTTCTAGAGGGAGGGAAGCCCAAATACGGTTCTGTGTTCTAGGACCTGCAACCTCTGAGCCTCAGCCTTCTCACCTGCAAAATAACGCTACTGTCCCATTTTCTCAAGTCCTTGCCAGCTCAAACAAGATTCCCATGTTCCAGAGGGAGATGCCAGGAGAAAACTTTCATACATTTTTTAACAGAAGTTCCTGAAGAGAGGGGGCAGGGGACGTTTTTAACCCTTTAAAGGTGCAGCCACTCAAATGATCCATGCCGAGAGATCTCCTCCATCGCCCAGGCTGGCTCTTGCAAAAGAACGGAGTCAAACTCGGCGATCCCTAAAGGGGCTACCTGTGGCTGGGCACTGCCTGTCTGCGCGCCTCTGGACAAGGAGTGGCAGGGCGGGCGGCCTGGGAACAGGCACTTCTCTCTCTCCTGCTTTCTGTCTCTGCCCCCTCACCGGCTGGGGCCAGACTTTTCCACTCATGAGCAGGACGGGAGTGGGGTGGGGGGCACGGAGGTGACAGAAAGGGGTAGAGGAGCCGCAGAGAGGCGAGTGGGGGGCGAGGCGGGAGGAAAGGATGAAGAGGAGAACGGGGCAAAGCGGGGAGGGGAGGCAGGGGGGAGGAGTCGGGAGGGACCCGGGCAGCGCCGCTGCAGGGCCGAGGGGAGAGCAGGGGAGGAGGGGACGGGAAGCGCTGGAGGCAGAAGTTTTCCGAGCCGGGGGCCCTCGGTCGCCCCCGGCGGGGCGCGGGCTCCAGGGGGCGTGGGGGCTGCGCCGCACTCACATAATGCTTGTTGGGCACCCGCCGCTTCTGCACGTCCAGCACCTTCACCTCCACGATGCTGCGCCGCGGCGGCATGGCCGCTCCTCCGCCCGCCGCGGGCCGAGCGCGGGTGCGGGGGACGCGGAGTGATGGGAGCACTAGGGGAGCGCCGCCGCGGGCCGGGAGCCTGGAACCGAGCGCGATCGCCACCGGGACAGAGCACGAGCCGCCGCCGCCGCTGCCGCCGCCCTTCGCTCGGCGCGCACTCCAGCCCGGCCCAGCCGCTGCCGCCCGCCCCCGGCCCGCCCCCCGCACCGCCCCCCGCGCCGCCGGCCCGCCCCCCTTAAAGGGCCCGGCCCGGGTGCCCGCCCCCCGCGCGAGGACCCCGCGGGCCACGTCCGGCCCCCGCCCGGCCTTTGTCCGGGTGCTGAGCCGCCGCGCCGGGGGAGGGGACAGGCCTGCACCCGCCGCCCGTTCATTGACTGATGTGTCAATTCATTCCCGCACGTTTGCTCAGGCAGCCGCAGCCACCGCCAGATTGGAGAGCCGGACTCCCGGGTTCGAATCCCGGCTCTGCCGCTTTTCCACTCTGCGCCCTTCGGTGAGTTGCTTAACCTCTCTGGGCTGGGTCTTTTCATCTGTAATATGGGCCTAGTAGTACTGCCTCCCAGCAAGCCATTCCGCAGTGCAGTCCATGTTAGGAGTGCTGGCAATCCTAAACCCAGCCCAAGCCCTGATGATTCAGGAAGAGCAAGAGGCCAGTGACCAGGTTCGCCCAGGCTCACAGTCTGGGACATGGGGAGTGAGAGAGAGAAAAACTGCAACAAATGCACGTAGGTAAAATGTAATCGCCATGAATGCAACAAAACGTGGTAAAAGGGTGGTGACGATGTGTGAGGGGCACCTGGGCGATTGATAGCAAGGCCATAGGTTCCCAGTTGCGGAGCATTTACTGCTCAGCAGGTGCCGCGGACCCTGCTTTTCAGAAATGTTGTCTTTGCATCCTCAGGCCAACTCTAGGAGGAAAAGGTGGTTGACCCATTTTACAGAGGTCGCGGCAGAAGGCGGCCGCTAGCTAGAGTCGGGGAGTAGGTGGATGGAGCCCATCACTGCCTGGCTCCAGGTGGATCTCACTCGTTGAAGCCACCGTGGCTGGGGCAGCTCCTTCTTTCTTCATCTAGTGCCTCCTAGCACTGGCTGGGCACTTAGTCACTTTCAGGAGATGTTGGCTGAATGAATGGATAAATAATGAATATATAATGCCTGGACAGGAGGTTTAGGCCCCTAGCCAGTGTTCTCACAGCCAGTAAGGGGGCTCTTTTCAACAAACCGGATGACTCACCTCCATGCCACGACAGAGTTCTTCCCCACTCCCGTCCTGGATCAGCATTTGGAAGAGGGTGGGCTTATCCAGGGGAGGACTGCTCTCAGCTACCCTGGCCAGGCCACATGGATGATTTCGTGCTGATTCACTTTGGATCCGCCCCTCCATTTGCTCCTCTGACTTCCATGCCAGACTTTACCATCCTGCTCGGGCCCCAGAGGCTGGCCTGTGTGGATTTCACTGTCCTGGTCTTCCTGTTGGGCTTGGCGGGTAGGAGGCCCTGGGAGGATATTGAGGGCAGGAGAGAGGGAGGTCTGTGTATTTAATCCCCAAGCCCCTCCTCCCTGGTGGTTTTTACCAAAGGTGCCCTTCCTCACGTGGTCTCTCTCAGGGTTCCTGAAGCCACTTTTCTGCTCAGGACGGTGACAATCTTGCTGTTGCAAGCCCTGGGTATTGCGCCATCCTGGGCTCTCCCTTAGCCCCGCCCACATCTGTATACATTGACCCTTTACTAAATTGTCGTCATGGACCCAGCTTGAGGGTGACATCTGTTTGGTGCCAGAACCCTCACTGATAAAATTCCTGTAAGGCACATTCTTCTGAAGTACAGTTCCCAAGTCAAAGGGTCCTGAGGTCTCATTGGAAATGTCCAAAGAAGTGATGGTTGCTTGTCTGTCCCTGCTACCTTGTTCATTGCCTTTTTAGGAGATGAGCGTAATAAAGCAGAAGCTAGAGGCTATCTGTGAATCAGCTTCCTGGGTTTTTCCAGAGAAGCAAAGAGACCTGCCTCCAGCCACACCCTGAGTGGCAGAGGTGGGTCCTCCTGAGTGTGCCCATCTCTTCTGCCCTGGCAGGCCTGTTCTGGGGAAGACAAAGTTCCTCCCACAACCACCCACAGCAGAAGATGCTATCCCTGCATCTTTCCATATCTTTCCTTTGTCTTTTTGATTGTAGTAAAAAATATGTAACATAAAATTTAACATTTCAACCATTTTTAAAACATACAGTTCAGTGGTATTAAGTACACTCACGTTGTGCCACCATTACCACTAACCCTCTCCAGAACTTTTCATCTTTGTAAACTCGAGTTCTGTCCCTCTTAAGCAGTGGCTCTCCACCACCTTCTCCAGGCCTTGGCAACCATCATTCTACACTCTATCTCTTTGAATCTGACTACTCTAGGTACTTCATAAGAATGGAAACACACAGCGGTTTGTTTGTTTCTTTGTTTTTTGTCTGGCTCATTTCACTTAGCATAATGTCCTCAAGGCTCGTCCATGTTGTAGCATCTTGGAAATAGATGCTCAGTGCTGCAAAGAAAACTTAGCACTGAGACAAAGGGTCCTTCAGCAACGCATTTTTCACTTCCTGAACTGCAGGAAGGAGACCCTCGCTAGCCATCATGCCATGGGAGTACAATGAACAAAGGAAAACACACAAATTGATCCCTTATGCATTTGGGGTTGTGCTTACTGCTGTGTCTGATCTCTGCTGGCTGGCGCCAGACCTCACAATTTAAACTAAAACCTGATTGGCTAACAACTTAAAACTTTTCTAAACAGGCAAAAACAGTGGAGAGTTGGGACATGCCTGTGAACACGTCCAGCACAGATATCTTGGTTAAAGTACAAGGACATAGACTGTACTATGTACCTGTAAACATGGCATGTCTAACAGCTACATAGGATAGGGCTGAACAAAGTTAGCAAGAAAGGAAACTTTAAAAAGGAACTTTTCTACTTCCCACATAGCATGTGTCAGAATTTTCTTCCTTTTTATGGCTGAATAATATTCCATTATATATATATGGCACCTTTTCTTTATCCAACTGTCAATAGTCACTTGGGTTGTTTTCATCTTTTGGCTGTTCTGAATAATGCTGCTGTGAACATTGGTATAAAAACATCTGTTCAAATCCCTGCTTTCAATTCTTTTGTGGATATACCAAGAAATGGAATTGCTGGATCATATGGTAATTTTACGTTTCATTTTTTTTTCAGGAGCCCCTAAACTGTCTTCCACAGGGGCTGTGCCATTTTACATTTCCTCAGCAATGCACAAAGTTTCCGGTTTCTCCATATCCTTGTCAACACTTGCTATTACGTGTTTTTTGTGATTTTGATTTGTTTTGTTTAACACAGTCTCACTCTGTCTCCCAGGCTGGAGTGCAGTGGCGTAATCTCAGCTCACTGTAAACCCCGCCTCCTGGGTTCAAGTGATTCTCCTGCCTCAGCTTCTCGAGTAGCTGGGACTACTGGCACGTGCCACCATGCCCAGCTAATTTCTGTATTTTTAGTAGAGACGGGGTTTCACCATGTTGACCAGGATGGTCTCAATCTCTTGACCTCGTGATCCACCTGCCTCGGCCTCCCAAAGTGCTGGGATTATAGGCGTGAGCCACTGTGCCCGGCCGGTCAGGCTGGTCTTGAACTCTTGACCTCAGGTTTTCCACCCACCTCAGCTTCCCAAAGTGCTGGGATTACAGTCATGAGACACCGTGCCCAGCCTTGATTCGTTTTTTAAGAGACAGGGTCTCATTCTGTCACCCAGGCTGGAGTGCAGTGATTTGATCATGGCTCACTGTGGCCTCTGTCTCCTGGGCTCAAGGAATCATCTGCTTCAGCCTCCCCGGTACCTGGGACTATAGGTACCCACCACCACATCTGGCTAATTTTTAAATGTTTCTTTTGGAGAGACAGCATCTCACTGTGTTGACCAGGCTGATTTGGGACTCCCGGCCTCAAGTGATTTTCCTGCATTTGTCTCCCAAAGTGGTGGGTTTACAGGCTTGAGCCACTGGGCCCGGCCTGTTTTTATTTGTTTATTCATTCCTTTCTTTTTGATAATAACCATTCTAATGGATATGAAATGAAATCTCACTGTGGTTTCGATTTACATTTCTCTAATGATTAGTGATCCTGAGCATCCTTTCATATGCTTGTCAGCCATTTGTATATCTTCTTTGGAGAAGTGCCTGTCAAGTCCTCTGCCCATTTTAAAATGAGGTTATTGGTTTTTTTCTTCTTGCCTCTCTCTAGCTCCCATTTACCTCCTAGACACCTTGCGCTTTTCTGAGTGGCCACCATCGTTTGCGGAGAACTGAATTGTGGGCTAGTGAGGCAGTCTAGGCTGGCTGCTTGGGCTGGAAAGCTCCATTTAGGCTCTGCTTGGGAGAACCGAAGATGATCTGCTGAGAAGAAGCCCAACCCAGAAGGTCACTACAGTTCACTGGAACTGGACTAGTTCCTTGTCACAAACACAGAACACTTCTGCAAATTCAAGTTCATCAGGGATCCCAAACCTAAGGGAGAACTTGAATGGAAGAGAATTCCCACTTGGAATTCAAATCCTAAGAATGGGTTGTCACCGCAATTACACTTCTTGAGGTTTGCTGATGGGGCTGGTCCTGGGTTATGGTGCTTTATATACACGATCTTATTTATGATAACAGCCCTGCAAGTTGGATGCCATCCTTTTCATTTGCTGGTGGGAAACGGAATCTGAGCGAAGCGAAAGAGTGTAAGGCCACGAAGCTGGTCTGGAGCAGGCATCTGCAGCCATCCTGACTCCAGACTTTGTGTTCAGCTGGGAATTGGTGTCCAGCGTTTGCTCGGCCACTTGCCAGGTGTGTGATCTTGGGCAAGCCACTTGACCTCTCTGTGCCCCAATCTCTTTATCTGTACGATGAGGATAAGACCTGCAGGCTTGTTCTGAGAGCATCTAAATTAGATCACATGTTTAAAGCCCCAGGCATTTTTTTATTATTTTGCTACTGGCCAAACTGACAAGCAAACATCGCCCTCTAACCTGTATCCGTATTTATTCTGGATGAATACTTTACCCATCCAAATCCCAAAGCTGACTTTAATCTGAGTGCTGCCCTCAACTGCATTGGCTCTTTTCTGATCTAGACCCTCTTTATAGCCCCTGGCTGTGTGTCCAGGTTCACCTCCCACCAGTCACCTCCCTTTCTCCATGTCCCAAAAGTAGACATCACTTGTCATCTCTGGAAGAAAATAGATTCCATTTTTTTCCACTGTCAGAGGTGTTTGAACCAGAGTGAGTCCAACTTGTATAGGGGCTGGGTAAAATGAGGCTGAAACCTACTGGGCTGCATTCGTAGGAGTTTAAGGCTTTCTTAGTCACAGGATGAGATAGGAGGTCGGCACAAGACACAGGTCATGAAGACCTTGCTGATAAAATAGAATGCAATAATAATAAAGCTGGCCAAAACCCACCAAAACCAAGATGGCAATGAAAGAGATCTCTGGTTGTCC